TTCATATGGAACTTTTGTCTTCAAAAGGATTCGATGGTTGTTTGTCTGCATGCTTTATTAACACCCTGTATATCTCATTTCATAATTTTACACCTTTTTTGCCTTGACATAATACAGTATACTTATTTGTATAATATTGCCGTTCTTCAACCATGCTTGTGTTTTTATAATTAATAACTAGAGTATGTAATTTTTGGAACTCCGACAGCAAGTTAACCAAAAAGACAACCAAATGACATGTCAAAGGTTTTGGCGTGACTGCGAAGCGCGGCAAAAATGCGTCGTTTAAATCGACGTCATTAGCATTGCAGTTTTAAATATTTAATAAACATTAAATACAAACATTTCCATGAACGAAATATGTGCTTAAGATAATATATTAACGTAAATAATCAACCAGAAATATAAAGAAGAAGCACGCATATTCCCTGTTCAATAAAATTAACCTATAAGGGGGATTACTTACCGAAAAAACACGAGATGAATTTTTTCTGCAGTAGCTGAGATTTATATTAGACGTGTTTCAGGACATCGATATGTCCCTGTTGACTAGGGTCGGAAATTGATTAAAAAAAGAAATTTTCTGGTATTTTTTCACATTTTATGTACCTTTAATCTTTTGTATGTGTTTGTACGTCATTATTATCTGTACTGCCTACATTAGGCATCGTTTTTTTTCTTTTTCAAGTTTGAAATATTTTCTTTGCTTACACTGTACATTATGTACTATCATATGAATGGAGAAATATTGTATTTGTGTTTAAAAATGCTTTTAGGACAAAATCCTTATTGACCCGTATATGTGACATTGAAACTGACACAGTAAATTGAGCAAGATCTAATAATTTATCCTGACAATTGTAATTGTTGTAGTAGGTTGAAATTCCAGATTTTGCAACTTTAATTGGAAGTTAAAAATATCAAGATTCCAGCTGAACGTTCAAAAATGTTTGTTTTTTTCGCTAACGGCTTGTGGATATTCTGCAAAGTTTGATGATTCAAAACATATACATATATGTTTACAATAATCTGCCATTCTCATCATATTCTAGCAAACCCTAAAATTGACATTGAGCCACACATCAAAGATGCTTTTTTTAATGGAATTGCCTTATTTCATGTTCCATATTTGGATTTGGACTGGACCTTTTAAAAGGAGAATACTTGACATCACATACTTGTGTGCTTGCACGATTAGTTGCTGAACAAATATTAATTGACAGCCCACAACTCCGTTATTTTCATAGATAGTGTATTAAATTTTATAACAAAGAAACATATTTTTCAAGTTTCAACATAAAGTTATCCATTTTGCGAATTGGCCCAATGAGTTAGACGTCAAAAACGTGTAATAAAGCGAGCTACTCCAAAACATATTTTCTGGAACGACCATGCTTCTATAAAAGATGGCAGGGCTTGAAATCGATTCTGGGAGATTGTCTGACACCCGCATGGCACCGGGTTAGCGGGTCGTAGACCAAACATATTGTACTCCATTCAGTGAGACCCTTAGAGTGGAACGGTTTTGCACTTCGCCTCTTTTCACGACGATTCAACCAAATGGAAATGTCCTTTTCTGTTCACAGTACAATTAGATTTGCTCGGTGATAAAAGTTTGCTTGGCTCTAAGTTCACTTTCTACGTTTTTCTCTCGGTTCCTTTTCGACGAAATACGTCATGGTAACAATCGTCTTCATATTTGACGAATTTATTTAATTAAGTTTGAAAGAAAAGTTCTCAAAAACTGACGTGGTATTTATTCAGTAATGATATTAAATTCCATTGAGTGCACATAGGGACTCGGCTTTTTACTTTCCACATAACTGGCGAGGGATTATTGTATTCGCGGAAAAATAAGATATGTTTTTTGAATGTTACATGACATGTAGGTCTGTCTGTCTGTCTGACCACCGATCCTTGACAGCATTGGAAGGCTGGCAAATAACAATTAGATCTGTTATGTCACTATGGAGAGATCCTAAGGAGAAGGGCTTGAAATATCTTTGTTTGAGAAATTTAAATCAAGATTCCCTGGAAAATTCATTTGGTCAAGTAAGACAGCATGGTATCTTCAATACAAACCCCACCTGTCATCAGTTGTTGCTGCCTTAAAAACAGTAGTTATTAATAATTTCAGCACACCTTTTTCTAAAGGTAATTGTGAAATCGATTTTTGTTATCCTTTTCTCGATTTCAGTGACTTTTTGGATAAATATGACCAAAGTAATGATACAGTGCTTGATTTAGACCCTGAGATTCTAAGTGACTCTGACATGAAAATAATGTACAGTTCGGTTGAATAGAATCCTTCAAATGGTTATGTGGCTGGGTACATTTTGGACAGACTCAAAATTGATAGTAATTATGAATCCTGTGCAAGGTTATTTTCTTTGGTTGTCACTGAAAAACATCTCTTTGTGACGTTTAAAGAGCATGATGAGGAAAAGTGATTGAAGTATGCAAGTGAAGATTTAATTTAACTCATTGGTCTACTGGATGAAAAGCTGTATGCATTTTTAGATCAGCATGGTACAGAATGCCAACTGGAAGTTAAATTTGAACGGAAGTATTCCTGCATCCTTCAAAATTACAGCTTTTGTCAGCAGCATGATGTGGCAAAAGGTATAATTGAAAAAAGCTGCTCGGTTGGGAATTTACAAACATGTAAAGCGAAATTCTTTGAAAAAGAGTGGTGAGGCTACTAATAGTCATATATCAACAAATAAGAAATTCAAGACAGCTAAAGTCAGGTAATGCTTTTTTATGTAGTCCAGCACTCTTCATTCATTGAATTTTCTATTTACTTTCAGTAACCAAATACTACTGTGATATTATACCTAAACAATATTTTTTTTGTTTCATAGTTGTAGCATCCTTGGGAGGGAGCAGTTGGACGAAGAATAATTATTTATTTTGTTACTCCCTATAATGTTAAAGTCATCAGGAGCTTTTGGTTTTAAGTATGAGGAATATCTTGTTTATTTTTACGTTTGATTCCTTCTTTGAAGAAAATTTTCCTCATTTTTACACTATAAAAAATAATGTTTTCTAAGATTATATTTCTTTATTTCAGTTATTTATTTAACTACAGAGATTTATTTTTTGTTGTTTTAGTATGAATGTTTACGTTTCAGTGATAAATATACCTCATGATGGATTAACAATAGGTAGTGCTTGCTAAACACTTCCTTTGATTACTGAGGGTCCCTTTTTATCGTTTTTTATGCTACTAATGTATGATTTGTATTTTTTAAACATCACTTATTCACTTAATAATATAGAGAAAGCGGATGTCTAAAAATACCTTTATGTATTGTCAATGTACTGTGATGATAAATTATTACTTATTATTATTCATATATTTAACTATATACATATATTTAATAAATATTTTATTAAATACGCATTTATTTTTTATTATCCCAAAATTGGTTATCAGCAAAACTGCTGAATCAGGTATTTCCTTATTGAGGATATTTTATGCCTCATAAAATATTTCTTCAATATGGGAAATATCACTTTCAGCAGATTTTAAATTGTAAAGAAACTAAATCCTCGGCGCATTCCTACCATTCCTAATCTCCCGGCGCATTCTTTGAATTCCTTCGATAGTTCCTCCAGATCTCCAGGCAAGTAGACGGCGCAACCATCTGACAAAACGTCAATGGTGTTGCCGTTGTTTAACGTACAGCTCCCACTTCTTCAGTCTTAAGTGTTTTGTGGTGCCCACTGTGCTTAATGCTATATGGCGACCACGGTAACTATCTTTCTTTATTCCCTAACATTGATATAATGGTATGGCCAATTTATTTCCATCCTACATGAAAGCTACACTAAATTTTTGATTATAGGCTGACATAGTATCACGATTCAGCCTTGGTGGTAGTTTTGCTCCTGGTAGAGCGCTCTTGCTTGGTGCTGCAAAGGTCTGATAATGATGTAACTCAGAAATACTCACAAATAAACACTGTATTGAATATAAAAGTATAAAGAGGTTTTTACTATAGTTGGCACTGTATAGCAAAGCTGGTCTTCACATAGGGAAGAATGGTATAACATGACCCGCCGAGGGGGCTCCCCCAGAGCGGGAATACCCTCAAGAGTCAACTTAACTAGTTTTTATAATCAATGCTATCCCCACTTCGGCTGAGAAGAATGCACATGTGCATACTCATTAGCGGGTGGCTTTGGTTATTTATTCGTGAGCTAAAGAGCTGGCGCCTGTGAAGCATTACAAGGTGGTAACTCGTGACAATAGATGATTTTTTTTATATATTTTGGGCGTGATAAGCGTTTGTGTCTCTTGACGTGTTAGAGCTAGCATCACTCTGCATCTTGTTCTCCAATTTCACTCCATGACCTCTCTCTTTACGCCCTATGTAAGATATCTAAACAGTGAATATACGCTTGACATCAGTGATCTGTCGATATAGAACCAATCTAGTTTCTACAATTGCGGTATACAGCAATATTCTACTACTTTATTCTTATAAAGACAAATCTACGTGAATTTGTTGACGCGGAACCTATAATTGATGTTTAAATATGATGATCGTTCTGCGGTAAGAATTCAAGCAGAATATTGTGTAAATGTATAAAATGGTTCTGGTTTTTCACGTTATGGAACTTGATGATTAAGATAAATGTGCGTGAGATTTTTTGTCACTGACTAGACCACAGCGCAACTGTGATTTTTTTTTGAGGATAAATAGAATCTACTTTCACTAAGAATTGCACAAAAATAAGTTTGTTCTGTTGCACTTTATTCAAATGTATTGCCAAAATGTCGTTCATACACGCAGCCATATTTTAGATATAAAAGTTCATCACTATATCCTAACCGCAACTGCAAATTCCCGAAAATCCGAATTGAAATAGTCCAGGAATACACTTTCTTGAAAACAAATAGGTACAGCTTGCATTCCTAGCCTAATCGAAAGATTGTAATTTTCAATGTACCAATTTATTTTTTATTGATGGCCGATTTTGGTTTGTTTCAGCTGCAGCAGAATATTCGTAAGGCGTTGTGCCGATGATTTCTGCCGGCGTGGAGGGAAGACTGCCATACATGACGTATCCGGAGCCTTGGAGGGGTCCTCCGAAACAACCTCCCGAGTTGTTTCTCAGGCCTAAACCATTGCCGTCCACTACCAGGTACGTTTTCATTTCACTGGTCTCACCAAAAACAACACAACTCAATTTCGATTGCGTTGCTTTTGGGTCCCTATCGAAGCACCTGCCAAGCAAACGGAGGTTTCATTTTGAAAAAGTAGATACAGCCTCTGATCTCATACTTACAATAAGATAGCGGAATATAAATGTCTATTTATCTTGGTCTAAGCAGATTGATCAATCAGCATATATGAAACATGTTCTGTATTTACCAAAAAAAACTCCAAATACAATCAAATGTACAATCACCGGAAAGTAATACCTTGAATACAAATATTTATCGAGTCTACTGATCTCTATTAACTTGTTCGCCACACTTCTTGTATCATCTGTAGCGCTCCTGGAAAATTTAAACAATACAGTTCTAACTGAATCACCTATAGCGGTGGTCGCCAACCTTTTCAATGTGTTGTGAGCTACTTTGATAATTTTGGAATAACAGCTATCTAGTCGTAAGCAATGTAAGCCAAATTAAATTAGACGCAGCTGTATTCGACATACATATACATCATACTAATAAACTTAAATAAACTAATAACTAATACATACTACATAACTGCATCAATTCCTACCAAATTTGTTTGAAAAATAAACAAAATTTTTCGTCAGCTACAATGGCATGTCACATACGATTTAATAAGGGTAACTAAACATATTCATACAAATAGGTTGAACTAAAACTTTCAAGGCAACACAACATAAAACTGAATATTTATCTTTACTTACTGAAGGCCAGATACCAGATACATTTTATATTTGAGACTAATTTTTTTTTATACTCCAACTACCACGAAGGAATAAGGCCTAAACACTGATGGGCTACTGTGGGGCTATAGGGGGATACAAGGGACTCTGGCGAGGGATCACGTGTGCATGCAACATGCACACATTCTGGCCTCGCCTACGAGATCCGCCGGGTGGTACCTCCACGTTCGACAGTCAGAGACCGTCTACCACCTACGGACAATCACAACATCCATAGCCAAGAGAAAAATTTCTCCTGGGATGGGACTCGAACCCGCACAGCGCACGGCGACTGATCAGGAGACCGAAGAGTCTACTACTACGGCCACCTCTGCTGCCTATGATTTTAAAGCTAAATCATCTTGAAACGCAATCACTTTCATTGCTATCGCAGCGATGTCTTCGCTAACAGAACTTGCAAACTGTTGGATATCAATTTCCATCAAGGGTGAAACAACAAATAGCGCCAGTATAGCAATTTCGTTAAAATCATTGCAACGAGTTTTGAAGTCATCCTTCAAGTTAGAGACTTCATCTACATGATATTTACTGTCATACGGTACTAATGGACCTTGAGATATATTTTCTGAAAGAACAGGAACATGCCTGGTATTGCCATCGATTTAAGTTTTGTTCCCAAGGCTCAAGCTTTTTGATAAACGCGTTTATATCAGAAATCATTTCTGCTAGTTCTTTGTCTCTCCCATGAAGCTGCAAATTAAGTTCATTTAATTTTTCTGCAATATCCACAAGAAAGCCAAAATCTCTGAGCCAGATTGAATTTTCCAGTTCCGGAATCGGTTCATCACATTGATTGAAAAATTGAACTATGGCAGATATGATATCATTAAAACGTTTCAGCACTCGTCGCCTATAGTCCAGGACTATTAGACGAAAAGAAGGCTAATCTGCTGAAAAAAATTCCACCTGGCTGAATTTTTTACCAGAGCTTCTTTTCAATATTATAAATCATTCCTCAAAAGTTCCCATGAATCCAAGTGGAGCTTTTTTTATGGGGGGTCAAAGGACACAAAAAACAGTATTTTCCATATATCTTCGAAAATATCAACTCTACGATAAAATAAGTTATTACCTTTTTTGTTCGGTATAAAATTCTCCACAAAAAAGGTTCCATGCATTTTTTTCGTAGACAGCGCCAATTTACAGAAAATTGCGTGAACGTGTTGTATTTGACAAAAATCATAAATTTCGCGTCAAACCGTATTTTGACATCGTTTTCTTTTTGAATGTTTGTGGTAGAGGCTCTATAAGTGTCCCCTCTTGTGACCTAGAGGACAGCTAGCCCTTTTTTTCTGTCTTAGAATGTACGTCACTGTATACCTAGCTGTGGGGCGTTGACGTCATTTGACCAGTCTTCAGACCAGTATTCTGCTATTCTCAGTTGTATACAGACGCGTCGGATAATTTCACACAGTTTTTACGTGATGTTATTCACATATAAATTGAAAACTGGACAAAAATTGCAACATTTGCGACAAATCGCTGTCAGACTGTTTGCGTCGAGCGCGGTATTAAAACCGTACGTGACGCCAGTATCGAGCGAAATGATGGAAAAAAATACATTTTTGCGGAGTGTTGAATCGGTCAGTTTGCACGTGGTGTGTTGCAAAGAATATACTCGTGCAAGGAGCATTACTGCTGCTAAAAGGGATCGAGATGCTGAACCCAGCACCTCGACCGCTACCCTCATCGGTGATTGCTACGTCTCTTTTGCGCGACCTTTAACTGCCCAAAGCATGGGAGACCTCAATATATCAACATCTCTTTGGCAATGGAGAAAATATATAATTACATTGAAAATAATGATGTCTGTCAGTTCACTTTATCGGAACATAAAAAGGTGATTTTGTACCTGATGATGTTATTGTAAAAACAAAACTTATTGAAAAGTACGGTGAAAAAATCGGCATTACAACAAAGAGTCGAAGTTCAACGATTATTTGATTCTCCGATGTTCGTTATAATATCTTGAACAAAACCTGGTATGACAATCGTAAATCTGATGAGAAAGAGGAACGTTTTAGGATTTTAGAGGCCACTGCACCAATTATTCGTGAAAATATACAATCGACACCCACGAATAGCGACTATTATCCTCCTACAAATCAAATGTTCGACAACATCGAGTGCAGCTCAAGCACATTTATGTCGTTTGTATTATCAAGTCCAGAAATGGCTTGGAAATAATTTGAATCCATTGGATTGGGGATGGACTATGACTGACGAATGTTTACAGCCCATACAAACTCTATTGCCACCTGCTCCTGATGTCTTATTACACACAATCTTTTGTAATTTTACGAAAGGTTGTGGAGCTAATTGCGGATGTTGGAAACTTGGCCTTCACTGTTCCGTCATTTGCGGCTACTGTCATGGACAGTCATGTCTGAATATGATCTCGAACAATGAAAAGTCGAATAATGTGGAATTCGATGAGAATATAGACTCCAAGAATTTCCTATGCTCAACACTTGAGGTTGGCGAAGACTTAGATGATGCCGCATCTTGTCATATTGATGACTAAGGAAAAAAGTAACAATAACATCATGTTTTCATCTTCGCTAATTAGGCCTATTGGGGAGACCACATGAAAAAAAAAAACGCGTCTGGTACTTTACCTCTATGGTGGCGTGGAAAAGTTACGTTATTTTACAATTTTCTCAATGTTCAACATTGAAAGTAAAATTTCTTTGAAAAAACGATTTCTACGAAAAAAATGGATAAAACCTTTTTTGAGTATAATTTCATACTGAACAAAAAAGGTAATACCTCATTTTATCGTAGAATTGGTATTTCCCAAGATATACGGAAATAAGTGTTTTTTGTGACCTTTGACCCCCCCAAAACAAAAAAGCTCCACTTGGATTCATGGGGACTTTTGATGATTTATAATGCTAAAAAGAAGCTCTGGTAAAAAATTCAGCCAGGTGGGATTTTTTCAGCAGAGAAAGTCTAATAGTCCTGGACTACTACTTAACCATCGGACTTCAGACTGAAGAAGTAGTTCCCCGTATTGACATTCAATCTCATCGGCCAAGCTTTTGAATAATCTTCTTTGTAACGCTTGAGCTCTAATCTTGTTCACAATTTTTACTATCAATTTCATAACGTTGTTTAGTTTTAGAAAATGTCCACATAATGCTTGCTGATGGATAATAATAATAATAATAATAATAATAATAATAATAATAATAATAATTTATTTGTCCTGTATGATCACAGATGTGATATAGGATAAGTCAGTCAGAGCACTACAAAAGCTAATAACAAATCATGTTAGTGTGGATGCACACATATTCGTACCACATATGGCATATTCCAAATATGCTTTCTCCAGTAAAAACTGTTTAACTGTTCTTTTAAAAGTGTTCAGTGGTTGTGATTTCAAATTGTTGGGGAGTCTGTTGAAAAACATAATAGCCATGTATCTAGGGCTGTCCTCCGTTCTCGCTAATCTATGCGACGGCACCTCCAATTCTTGACTGTTTCTAGTAAAGTAAGCACCAGTGCTCACAGAATTGAACTTGCTCAATTGTGTTTTAGCAAGGATAAGTATATTGAGTATATATACAGATGGTAAGGTCAAAATCTTTAATGTTCTAAATGAATCCTTGCAGGTGAGCCTTCCAATTTTAGCTATTACTCGAACAACACAAAAAGTCTTTGCAGCTGGGACGATACTCCGAAACTTTCATCTTTAGGACATAACCCCACGACCCACCATAGCTGAAGCGCTATCGGTTGTCAAGCCTACCATTTTCGATTTTGGAATTTTCTCAGAAGGAATAATATTTTTAAAAGAAGATAATAAGTCCTGCCCAGTAGTCCATCCTTTTAGTGGAATAAACTTCAACTCCTTTAATCGTAATATCGCTAAAAACCACCCTAACGAACACGGACATCGAAGTCATTTCTTAAGTGTAAAACTAAATCGTTGCTCATTACTTCTACTCGTCTCATTACTGTATTAGCAGAAAGTTGCATAGATTTTATAGCAGACGCTATGTCGTCCTTATTTCTATAGTTGGCAAATAATAAATCTGCAGCTTCTAAAAACGCGTGTTTTATCATTTTCCCGTCTTCATAAGATCTTCGTCATAAGGCTTTTATGTAATTATCTGGGACACCCGTATGATTCAGTTGCAGCCTTACTTTTTTTGTCATTTGTTTTTAAAAGCATTGTCCGTTGTTCAATTAACTGTTTTTTTTAATTGTTT